GAGAAGCTATAGAGCAAAGCAGTTGGTGCCTATATTACACACACTTCAAGGGATTACTTGTTACAGTCCACATAAGCAGACCTTCTAACAGAAGGTTTCCAATACAGGATCTCTTACTTTCCACTCTCAAGAAACAATATCACAATCAACTCTACTAGAAACTCTTCTAAATAACCCTGGCTCAGCAACAAATTGTGGTATTGCCATTTTTCTAACAGCTTACACCATTTTGAAAAGCAAAAGCCACATGACTAATAATCTCCTTCCTTAACACAGTATCTCATTCATTTATTGTTTCTATCTCTTCTAATCATTAATTAATCAATGTACCAAAAGGTTGTTTTTTTTTTTTTTTTAAATTCAGGAATATTGTATTAACTAAATCACACTCATTTAAATGCTCCATCATTCCTTGGAAAGAAATCACACTTCAAAGATGTTCTACCTCCTTCCCATTAGATCACAATTATCCATACGCCTACTACTATTGACTATAGTTTCTTACAATTTACCTGGTACAGATATCAAATTTAGTGAACTCCAGATGGGTTCAAAGGATGGAATTCAGTTTACCTTACTTCAAGAGAAGCATCGATGACTACAGTCAGGTGCAGACATCTAGTTGGTAGCGAGATAGCCACATATGCTAAGCAGTTATTTATATGTTTATAGGTTATTCTTATCCCTTCCTCCAGTGAAACGCCATTTAGTCAAATCTGTGTGGGGAAGTATAACTCACCAAGTGCCCATGCAGCTTCACGTAATTTTCCCAGGTGTTTGGGTAGAAATTCAAGACAATGTTTTAAGTGAAGATCCTCAGAAACTGAGTCTGGTCTTTGCTGCTACCAAGATAGGCTTGGCAGAAGGGTTATGCTTAAGGGCATTTACACATTCGCTTTTGGTCTAGCTGTCAATTTTTACGAGCCCTGTTTAATATTCTTTCTTATTTCCTGTATTTCTACATAGCAATCTGAAATTTACATTTCACCAAGTGAACGCATATGCAATCTGTTCTATAAATTAAAATGTCTGTAAAATACTGCATAGTTTCCTCTTTCAAGCTGTGAGATAGAATGGCATGTTTTAAGAGTTGTCAGACACCATGTCTGACATGACGAAATTACGATCAGTCCAGGCTTAACCATAATTTCTAAAGACAAACAAGGTTTGAGGATTTTTTTCTTAGATAAAGCTCATCACTTCTTTGCAAAAGGCACAGACCTCACCCTGGCAGCTGACATGTCAGCCATCACCTGAGCACGGCAATCTTGAAAGGAGGATGAAAAGGTTCTGAAAGCGATCTCAGATTACTGGCATACAGTCCCTGGTCCTCCAACTACCAACAACTCTAAACTGTCAAGGCATCAAAGTGGTCTGCCCAGCCAACACTGACAGGTCCATCACAACTGATCTAGAGGATGAGGGGAACTGAAATAGCATTCAGCATAAATTTTGGCAGAAATTCTTCATCAGGGAGGATGATCCCAGCACAGGCTGAGAATAAGTAGCTTCTGGAAGGTGAGAGATTGTTTTCATGAGAAAACAGCCTGGAGCCAAACTTACAAACCTCTCATGTTTGCATGGCACGAATCAATGTGTCATGATTTTGAAGTGCCAAGTAATAGCCACTACTGCAGTACGGATAGAACCCTGACACCATGGAGTTCAGAATCACGTTAATGAAATTTAGACAACCAGGAGTATTTCTGAAAATTCAACTCAGGACCTTTGAAAGGAATAAAAACCTTTTTCTTCGGTAGACCTAAGTTTTTATCATCACACTGACCATGTGCAGCCATGGCATGCAGTCGCCATCTGAGATAAACCATGAAAACAACTCTTCACCAAGTAATGATCTCATCCAATCCATGGTATTTCCCCTGCAATGCCTGTATGAACATATATAAAGTAGGTATACTGAAAATTAAGATCCACATACAGAAATCCCTCCTAATGGAGACTGATGAACTCTGTTGACAAAGTTTGCTTCTGAAGATAAAATATCCAGCTACAGCAAGGAAACCCCTTAAGTCCTTCATCACATGCAGGACCTCACCCATCCTCTGGCTGAAGAGAAGTTAAGTCCTTCACTAAAGATTTCATGTCTTTCAGCAGAATCAATGACTGTAGCCAGGGTGATGAATATGCGCTCTGGGGAGGGCATGTCTCTATCGAAGGGGTATTTGTAGTGAAGCCCAGGATATAATTTTTAGTTTGCTAGGGCTAAGACAAATTTCTTCATGACATCAGTAGAAAGATAAATAAGCTAAAATTGTTCAAAATCTTATACTCAGTGAGCAAAGAAGCCCTGATAACCAGCTCAACAAAACTGGAACAAGTAGTGTATCTTATTTGCCAAGCTGCCAGATATTTTGTGGTCATGGCTGTGGAACTTAGTCTGTTTATTTTTGGTCAACGCTGCTGCTGAAAAAACTAAATGCAAAGGTCACCACAGAAAGACTCTGAATTACATGATATCCACTATTCTCTCTCTTTCTGGTGTTGAAAGGTAAACATGTACATACACAAGAGGCCACGTGGTCGTTCTTCAAATTTTTAGCCAACATGGTTCTGTTTCTAAAGAGAGTATTCGTGTTAATCTAGGGAATGATAAGAGCAGCAGAACAGACATCTTGAGACACCAAAGGCCATGCTAATGCTTTAATAGTACCTGTGCTGACAGTTGGCTAGAGAAGCACCTAAAGGGTCCCATGAGATCTCAGACAATCATGCAGGCTGTGTCCAAAATCAATACCATGACAGGGAGAAGGAAAAATACGGAACATTGTCATTTGTCTTGCTACCTTTGCCTGATGACTACAGGTAGAACTGGTGTCAAAAGGCCAGCATACACCTCCATAGCAGCCTCCACAATCTCAAACCCCTGCCAAACTGCTTTGGAAACCAACCTGGAAACAAACCTCTGCCCTAACATCTGGTAACAGAGGATGTAGTTGGAACTAAGAGCGGTGTCCAATGATACAAGCATCAACCACACAAGAATGACAGGAAGGCACCCTAGCACATTTCCGGAAGTAATTCTAGATCTTGTTCTCTCCATCACCTACTGTCACTCACCTTAAGAAAAAAGACATCCACAACACGGGTCAACAGATGAAAAATGACCTCTGCACATTTCATGCAAGGCAGAATCATCGTAGAGTCAGTAGTTTAAGTACACAACAGACAGATCAGTAGAGATCTCAGATGTGAAGCCTGTCATCTCACTAGAAGGCTGAAAAGAACTAAAGCGCAACAACAATCACAAGACAGGAGGATCTTAATGGCAGAGGTATACTGAGAAGCACTGAAAAGTGTACATTATTTCCCAAATAATAAAATAGACAAACTTAGAGGATCTTCAATGAACTGAACTCACCCCAAAATAGGAATGAAGCATTCCTAGTTTCATCGTACACCATCAATGGTGACAAAAGGTCATTGCAATGCGCTGAGATCCTTGCCACCAGAAGCAAAGCAGCAGGCGTGACAGTTGGAAACCCAGTGAATGTCTGAAAGATGTGAGCTTGCAGGGGTGATGCACATGCTCTCTGTAACTGGTTTCAGTCTGGACAGTCACTTTTTGATAATAGCTGTTTCCAAGTAGCTCCGTGTTTAGACAGGCCCTAATCGATGAGCTAACTCAGAATCATTTGCACACAATACAAATCACAGTCCTTTTAAGTACTATGGATATTATCAATAAAGTTCCACAATAAAATACTGTTTTTTTTCCCAAGTATCTGACCTTACCCAAATCAAATTCAGTGTGAGCTGTACACACAGTGTTATGTTTCAACAAGCATTATGCAAAAGAGATAGATTTAATTCCAAGCAACTTTGCAATTGCACATTTATTTCTTATTTAAAGAAAGAGTGATTCTCGAGGGCTTGTTAACATTAAAACATAATGGCTTGAGATTAGAGAGCTTTTATGCAGCATTTGGTATCTCTTTTTGCTAAGCAGAAGACTGCATTTTACATATTTATGTAACTAAATAGTTTAATTTTAAATCAGACTCTTAGCTTCCATGTTGTTAAAATACTGACTGACATCTCCCATTTACTGGATGATACTTTTTATTCAGGCTTGCCAGGCTGCAGGGTTAGAAAATGTAATTCAAGTAAACATATACAAAAGTTGTGTTTTAAAATAATTATCGTGTCATTCAATTAAAATATAAGAAAATTTGGTTTTAAACACAAACCAGTTTTGACTATGCATTTGTATTCCATTAATAGAAGCAAGAGCTTCTAATTAATAGATCTTTCACTGTAACTACTAAATCGCATCTTTTGAGCTTCTACTTGAAGTGAGGAAGAAATCAATTTTTTCTGTCTTCTGAAGTCCCTGTATCTCAAGTTCAACTGAACTACAATATCAATCTCAGAAAAATTGCAAAAAACTTACAAGCCAGAAATACATTTCTGGCACTGTCATCCACACTCTAGCTAGTTTGGAACACCACTAACTGTGTCTGAGCAACATGCTATCAATAAAAGACTTCAAACACAACAGTAAGTTCTATTTTGGATGTCTTCAGCAGAAAAGAAGAAAAAGATTCAGCTACTTCTGAAACACATTTGAGAACATTCAGTTTGATTTTTCAAAGACACTAAACATCACAGTTATCATAGGTCTTATGAAACTGGAAGCTTTACTCAGACATATAATGTCTGGAGACAAGGAATACAAAAGTTGCTTCTCTAAGATTTCAAACCTTCTTAGGATTAGGGATGATTATCAATATCATATGTGGACATGCGTAGTAATAGAGCTTAAATCCTTGTCTTCAGCCAAAGCTTCCACACACAAATCAACGAAACTTCATTAGAAGTCCAGGAAAATCCAAGAACCTTTTGACAGCAAATAAGATCTACAGACAGAAAGATAATTTATTCCAGTTTATCAGTTCCTCTCTGTTCCTCTCCTTCCTCCCCTACTGATTTGACCCACTAAACAGAGGGAATTCACAGGCAGGCAAAGACCTAAAGCTCACCAGCAAAGTTCTTTGCTGCAGGAGTCACCATGGAGAGACATTTGGCCATTACTAAAGGAGAAAAGATGGAAAAAATGCTGGATCATTTTACGCCCATCCTCTTTACGATAAACAAGGGAATAACTGAAAAATATGCACCTTTTACGTAGCTTACCATAAATCAAAAACTTTTTTAAAACCTTTCATCAGTAATTCTGTCTCATTATTCTGGGTGATAAATAAATCTGTCTGAAACATTTTTCCTAAGAAACAGAATACAAACGTAGTATTTATCACCTTTTGCTTTTCCAGGTGATTTTGTGTTACACGCCCCCCTCAAAGGGTCCTCACACATATCATTACCATTTCTGAAAATCATCCACATACACATCATTCCATTGTTATCCACTGATAGATTTAATACATCCCACTGAAATTTATTGCTGAATTAAAAAAAAAAAAAACCACAAATGGAAAGAAACCACAGACAGTTATCTTACTTCTAGAAACTTAAGCCTACTGTCCTAGTTATATACTGTTGAATTCAATTCCATCATGTTCAGCTGCTACAAGTTCATTGTCTCAAACACAGGGACAAGGATGGTGCCTACTCCCTTAGATGACTTCTGTATCCAGACTATTAATGTTTCATCAGAAAACATCTCTCATTGGAAAATTCATAGTAGATTCACTCTGAACTACAGTACATTCATCTCTTCTGAATTTACCTTTCAGCCTCAATTCCTCCCAATCTCTTCATTAATAGCACTTATGAAGGCTTGAAGGCTGCTATTATTTTCAATTAGTACTTCTTTTTTTAATACACACACAAATTAAGCCCTCTGATCATATTCCTAGTATTTACCAAGGAAATAGGGCATTAGGCTTGAGGCAGTCAATCTGCAGATGAAAAACATTTAAGACAGTTTTATTTTATATAATACACATCACAGTTGGAACACTGTAATATTTAAAACTAGTAACACTGTATACGTGATTGATTACTGTCAATTACTCACGCATACATAGAATTCCCTAACTTCTGTGCTCTCCATTACTTCTCAAATTAAATACATTTCAAAACAAAGTCACATTATTTGACTGTAGGACAGAAGAAAGTGCGGATATCTCTTTTTTTTTAAAATCATACCTTGATCAGAAAGAAAATCCAGCATGGTCTGGAGAAGGAAAGACAGATGCCTGACGCATAGAGCAGGATTGCCCATTCTTCTGGAAGCGTATACTAGTTCATGAAGCAAACGCATCTGTACTGCAGCCCATCCTCTATGAGTTCCTATAAAGTAAGCAGACATTTAAATTTTTTTTAAAGCTGCAAGTCATCACAAACCAATTGGTGGTAGTTTTCTTTATATACTAAACAGTAATTTAATTTTTTTTATATAGAGATATATAAAAAAATCACCCAATGGAACCAATAATTACCAAATCCAAATGCTGTAATCAAAAGAAAAATTAGGATCTTTGAGTTTGCTTGAATGTTTACATGTGAAAGTAATTTGTTGTATATGCTTGTCTATCAACTAATAAATTTATCATTAGAATTCAGAAAATGAAGTTAACACTTCCCATGCAGTAAAAAATAAAGTGATACAAAAAACCTTTAAAGATTTTTTTTTTAAATTCTCTGAACAAGAAATTCACATGAGATTTCATACAGAAACTTCATTTTTATCCAAATCAAACACTTCTTAACTCTCCTTGAAGATCAAGCAAAAGATATTTTCTCTAAATGCTTTCCTGGCCATTAAAAGTCAGTAAAGAGCAATAAAACTACAGGACATGGGCACATTTCCTGATTTTCAGTCTTTAAAAACTACATTTTGGACTGTAAATTATTTCATATTTGCAAAGTATCCATGGTAACAATAAATAGATCATCGCAACGTTAACTTTTCTTTCAAAAACGTAATATGCAGTACTCTTCATGAAACTGAAGCCTGCTTTTAGTAGTAAGCAAGAGCAATAACAGATATTCCAAGATGGGCAATACTTCATAAACTTCAAAACAGCCTTCCTTCTAATATTGCACTTCAGCATTCAGCAAACTTTTCTAGAAATATTTATTGCAACCAAACCTTGAGAGTTTATATTTTGCACACACGACTCATTATTTTTCATGTGTGAAATATTGTTCTTATCAAGCAGTTCTTATAGTTTACAGTGATCTTTCCATATGTCTCTGAAAAAGCCATTTTAGGGGTAAAATCTGACAAAGCACTTCAGTGCAACATAAAGGTAACTTAAAAGGTAAACAACAATCGTCACTTTTTTTTTTTTAATTGTCAGTTCTTGCAGAACTTCTACAACCTCTTCTCCCAACACAGTCCCATCCCAGTCTTCTTTTCCATCACAGGCCACAGCATATTTTTTTCCAGTACGTTCCCTCCTCCTAGACTCTTTGTATCTTTCCGTCTAGTCCACTTGGCATTTTCTGCCTCCTTTCACATACCATTTATTTCGGTGACTGCTAAAATCACACCAGTTTAAAAAAAAAAAAAAACAAACCTAAGCATCCACACATGCAGCAGGCTGTCTACATGCCTGTTTCATCAATGGCAATCACAAATGCCACTAAGACAGCCTGGAAAATACCATGTAGCAGCTGCTCAGCTGAGTATTTCCGTGTTCTCCATTGACTGAATTGACTAGATAGCCATTGACAATAACAGAGCTGCGTGACCTAGCGCATGTGGAAACACCTGAATTTACAAGACAACTTCAAACTGGAATCCCAACAACAGATAGGCAATGTACTCTCGCAAAAGGGAGAAGACTGTTCCAGCTGCTGTTCATGCATATTTAAACCAGTTCAGAGTTTTCTTACCAGTGAACCCCACCTCCTTTCCATCAATACACGCTCACCTCATTGCTTGCTGCTCCACTCCTGCAGCTACAACATTTAGAGAACGGTCCCCAAAATTGCTACTACACAAAAATAATGCAAGTTTTTGGGCTACATGGAAAGGTTTCCTCAAAAGGAGTTCCCAAGCAGCATATTAGCTGTCTCTGCCTTTAGAAGCAAAATGCAGTACAGTATATTAAAATAAAGAGAACTTTTTAAATTATTACTTTATATACAGCTTAAGAAAACATTGATAAAATTGTTCAAACATAGCTTACCTAAAGAAGAGCAGCAAGCAGCATATAGCTTGCAGAAAGTGAACACAGTATTTAACAGCTACAAGAATAGGCATGTGTTCTTACAGGCTATTTTTGCATTGGTTTTTAATAGATGCAATAAAATAGTAATTCAAATGATATATAGCATCTAAAAACTATTGAAATGTCTTAACCAAATGCTAGTCTTACAGACAACATCCCTCTGACCTAATTTGTGGAAAAACGCAATATATTTGACCCTACAGATATAATTATATGTACGTATGTGTGTCTATATACAAAAATATGTAAAAGAATCTTTCATTCTTTGATTATATGATCAAATAACAACAGATATCAAAAGAAATACAATTTCTGATGCACAAGTCGGAGGCACTTTAATTGAAAAAATACTAAAAAATAAAATATGACCTTTTTTGTACTGAGAAATGTATAATTAAAAACAAAGACATTTTTGAAATAGAGTAGAAATGAAGCTTTCATAAATAAAACGTAATTATTTGCTGCAAACAGAGGAATACAGCAACACATTCAGCAGTAGTTCACAGAAATTTGAAATTATGGAAAACAACACTAAGAAAAAGTGAAGGTACAGTTTTAAAGAACTGCTCTATTTGCCCCAATTAGTTTCAGACAGATAAATGATTTTGGTTTAATTTGAAATCTCTTAAGGAAATTAGCTATAGAAAGCCAGTTGAGTGACCTACTATGCTAAAGCATACTTTCCCAGAGACACTTACCTTTGCTGAAATCTTTAGGATCCAATGATAAGCTATAGCCAGGGAGAGTTTCCAAAAGCAATTTGTAGCAGGCCCTCCACCCAGGTTCTGGGATGCTAGGTGCAGCGCACTGCATTGCTGCTATACGCTTGAAAAAAGCAGACTTTCGGTGAAAACCAATACGTTCATAAAGCTCAGAAAGAATGCTGTAACGCTGGATTTTTTCTTCTTCTGAAAGCTGAAATTTAAAGAGAAAAGGATTGGTTTTAATCAAAATTTTAAAGCGTATATCTGAGTTTAAAAAAAAAAAAGAGGGGGGGGGAGTACTAGACGTATCTCCAACACTACAGGTGGCCAGTGATGTTGCATATAGCCAGTCATGACAGCTTTTGCTTCCAGGAAAACTTAACCTTGCTTCAAGTTCAACAGCTAACAAAAGCAGCAAAGATAGAGTTCTTTAGCAGCTTTACTTGTCACTAGTACTAACATGTAAATAGTCAAAACAGTCAATACCAGCTAAACAGCTCCACATTTTATGAAAGATATTTAACATGATATTTACGTGCATAATAAGAATGCAAAAATATACCACCTCCAAAATCTATTGATTTACCAAGTTAAACATTTTCATCCCTTTAAGATTAAATTACTAATCTTGAAATCTCAGGCTATGAAAGCAAAGAAAATACTGTCTCAATTTTTATGTGTCTCTGATCTTGTAAACCACAAAGTTTTCATTCCATGATACTATACATATGCAGTCTGCCAACCAGTTAGGAAGAATTTAGTAAAAGGTTAAGCCCCATTAGGCTTAAAGTTGAAACAAACTTGAGGAGTAACCACCAACATGTGCTGCTTTAGCTTATGAATATATTGGCACAAGTCCCAGGCAACCATTCTTTCCCCTCTGCTTTGAATGACAATCTTGCTTTGAAATCAGACAGCCAAGAAGAATCTGCTGCAGAAACTCTGGAAGCTACCAACTGCTCCAAGCCTACATCCCAGTAGGAAGCACTACTGAGTTCTGAACGTGGACCAATGCTGACACCTAGTGCACAATACCTGGCATGCACAACCAAAAGCAATATAAAATATTTTAAATTACTCTAAAGCTGCTAACACATTTTGCAAAGGCGTTTAAAATGACAAACTTCATACAAAAATAGCACTAAAGGACAGAAACAGCATTTCTGCAAGTCATTCTTCAAAACTGAAAGTATCAATCAGTGGATTCTGTGCGTTTAACTTCAGATACTTAAACCCTTGGAAAGTCAAAAGAAGATGCTAGCCACACTGATGAATTTTTACAGAAATAATTAGGTCTTATAAATGAAACTTCAAAACATCTTTTAGTCACTTAAATCCTAATATAATTACAAAAAACAACAGTCTGTTTTTGAAAGTCACGTCTAATTTTGGACATAGGGATATTAGAGACCTCAAAGAAGCTTACAGTTTTCAGAAGGCACCATGACCTTATCTGATAGTTCAAATCTTAGTACTTCAGGATATGAAGAGACACCGACAGATAAACTAACAAATCATTTCAGGAAGTTTCAGACAATTTTTGAAGCTGAAGTTGCTATTTCCCTCAGAACTGACAACGCAAGATGATGCCCAATGCAAAAATACTGCCCATCCATATAAAAACCAAATCCCTCTAACAAGAGTAGTAAAAAGGCAATTGCACCAAGCTGAAAACTTGCTGCTGGGAAGAACATGAGGCACAAAAAGAAAATACAGAACAGTTTGAAACCAGTTTATCAGAATCTCCAAAAGCTATCATTCAAAAAGAACATGAGGTGTCAGATTAAGGTTACCTACTCTAGCAGAAAAAAAGCTGTTCCACTTTTTTTTTTTCCCCATTTATGTCCTTTTTAAAAAGCTAAGGCAATAAAAAAATATGGCAGCAGAATTAGAAAGGGCATGAGCGCATGATCATGTAATGAAGTTAGAAAAGCTTAAAAAAGAACTATTAAAAGCTACTCCTTGAATACATAATACTGTCAATGTTCACACACCTATGGAAACTAAATTTTTAAGATGAGAAGAGGCATGGTCATGCTATCTAGTTAGACATAAGAGGTTACTAATAATAGGAACACTATCAGAGAGGCAACAGATTATCAGAAAATTTTATTTTTCTCATATCTGAGTGAGTTTTTAACCCTGCTGGCTAACTTGTTGCTTAATGATTGCCCACAAAGATACTCAACTATTTTTTGCAGTTGCAGGAAACTGTTTTATCATCACAACAAAGATAGCAAAACTGCATTTTCCCTGAGCAAAAGTAGTTACATGTTACCACCCAGGGATTTAAAAGAAAAAATAAATCCCACGCAGATACTCCAAGTAATTAATTCTGGGAAGACTGCAGCAGGCATTCTGCAGACCATTACTGCAGCATTCACAAACATCTCTCCTGACCTTACAAATTTATAAAAGCTTAAGGCCTGTGAAGTGGCTGTGAAATAGCCAACACCTGAAGCACAGTCTCTCTTCCACCTGGTTAATTTTCATTTAACTGTTATAGCAAACCAAGTCAGCAATTGCACCTGTAAAGGCTGTAGATCACTATCCAAGCAAGTGAGCCACTTTTTTCACAGGCTTGTTTTAAGACAGACTTTCAAGAGGGTAGCTTTTTATTTGTTTTTTAATTATTCCTTACTATATTAAAATTCTGTAATGTCACTTTCTTTGTAATTAGATGTTACAATTTAATTCTCATAACTGGATGCAAAGATAATTCTTATTACCCTGCAGCTGTCCTATAATCAGAAAACACCAATTGCATAATGTTACTAGACTGGGCAGGAGACGGAATATATGGAAAGAAACAGTTTTCCTGTTTATCAAAGGCGTACACTTTATCCTGGGAGGTGTTTTTCTGCTGTCAAATATTGGTTGTGCTGATGTTCTATCCACCTGCAAGAGAAAAACACTGTCCTGTAGTTTGTTTCCCTAACCTATCACAGGATGCCTCCTCCTGTGAGTTAGTCCAAATTATAACTATTATCTGCTTCCATGCTATGTACAATATACAGCTATATACAGTAAATCTTGAAGAGCTCTAAATATAATTCCCAGTCATACCCCTCTTTATGGAAAATACATTTCCCACTGGAAAGATTATCGTACTCATATTTCTCATAATAATGCTTTCTAGAAGCACTTCCACCCAAGAGAATTACAAAGTAGTAGGCACGTGCAGTTATGAGCTAGATGAATGTCATCCTTGATTGAAATCAGTAAAGGTAAAGAATGGTTCATAGCTCCACAGTGGGCCTCGATGCCCAAATAATCAATATTGTCAAGATGTTGTTTTTTTTTTTAAAGCAACCATATACTGAACTTCCACAGTGGAATAATGATAACAGCAGATATAGGTGTGTCCTGGTTTTGGCTGGCATAGAGTTGATTTTCTTCCTAGAAGCTGCTATAGTGCTATGTTTTGGATTTAGCATGAGAATAATGTGATAATACACTGATGTTTTAGTTGTTGCTCCGCAGTGCTTATACTAAGTCAAGGACTTTTCAGCTTCCTATACTGTGCCAGTGAGGAGGTGCACAAGAAGTTGGGAGGGATTACAGCTAGGACAGCTGGATACCTGAGACTAAAAGATCCTTCCTTGCCCAAGGCAGAGAGATCCCTTACTCGTGAAAGATCCTCGGTAAGTGACTGATAGCATTCTGAATTAATATTAATGAAACATTACTAATCCATGTACCTACTCAATATTAACTATTGTAAACTTTGCATAGATAATTCCATTAGACATAAACCATTGTCCAAGTCTGAGACTAAGATTGGACCTAGTCAGACCCAGGCTCCATAAGGAGTTTAGAAAGCAAGAGGGTCCACTCTGAACCTCATGACTCAATGGGAGGGTCTTCCTTACCTTTTTGTGTCTCCAGTCTCTGTGTGAATCATTCTAACTCGATTCCAATTCAATTTTCCTTTGTACGTTTCTTCCTTGCAGTAAATAAGGTGAACCTTGCCATCAAACTCACTGAACCTTGGCAAACCCCTGTTAAACTTTGTTAAATTCCATCGACCTCATTGACCTCAATAAAACATATTGCTGCTTCTCTCTTTTGAGCGAGGTGCATTCCACTCATTCGTGACAGGGACCCAACTTGTGTCAGGCTGCCAGCCTGAGCGAAAACCATCAATCACCACCCTCTGAGTGCAGCCTGTTGGCCAACTTCCTACCCGCCTGGCAGACCACGCATCCAGTCTGTATCTTGCCAGTTTGTTCAGGAGAAGGCTGGGGGAAACAGTGTCAAACACTTTGCTGAAGGTTGCTGGATGATATCTGCATTAACCCCCTAAATTCTGACTGAGCTACAACAAAATACATAACATACCCGATTTTTATTTCAAGGTTTTCCAGACAGCGGGAGATCTGGCATTTATGGAATATATTTTATATAGCATGACAATGCACACTGAGGCATGCTTTACATGCACAAAGATTTGTTTCCAGGGTCAATAGCTGACGGTATACATCAAGTTCAAAGTTCCTTTAGGGGAAAAACAAAGCACAGAGAGAGACCAGCCAGCCAGGAAGAAAAGCAGTGGGGCCTCCCTTCCAGAACACCCTTCTCTGGTTCTCTCCAACACAGCAGGTGGCAAAAATGATGATGCCTTCTCACCACACTTTTTCACTAGATGCATTTCACCAGGACCCACTCCAACTCTTAGTTGTTTCTATTTGGGACACTGTTAGAGCTGGCTCGGGCAAGCTTTGGTCAGGGCATGTGTTGCATGCTGACTAGCTGACAAGCTTTGTGCTTGTGTATTATTAGGTAATACTTTTCAGCTATTTAAATGACTTATATACTTTGCCATTCACTAAGACTTATTTTTTGCCTCTAATACAAAGTGAAAGTTGCAACATCAGTGGTGTCAGGGAGGAGAACAGGTGATTCTCACAATGTCAGTAATTGCTTCCGTAAGAAAAACAACATAACAACAATATTGGAGTTTGCAGGCCAGGAGAATAACAGCGCAAGAACAACAAGGGAAAAATACCACCACAGCAGCTTACGTGAAAGGCTACAGAGCTGCCAGCAAAAGACAGACTACAGAATTAAGGAGAAGGCCCTTAGCACAGCAAGGATTACAGCGGTTAAGGTACTCTGCAACAAAATTGATTATTTTTATGATAGCTTATCAATTAATTAATTTCTCATTTATGTTGGGTTAGAAAACTGACTCCACAGAAAGGATTATCTGCCAATGAAAGAAAGTATTCTACCTCCCTCATAAATTTGCCATCCCAATCTGGGCTTAATAAGCTCAGTGGTGTGGACTTAAACTGCTCATCTTAACCAAGATATAACGAGCAAAAAAGGAAAAACAGTAAGAAACCTAACAGCTTTTTACAAATTCTTTCAGCCACAGCAGTTTCTCTGTAACCAGTGACACCAAGCTTGAGACACTGATAAAGTGTTAGTCTTGTTCTGTGGTGGTACTGAGCATTTTTCTCACAGTTCCAAATGCTGATTTTCTCCTCTGAACTCATTTCTGATTTGGCCTAACCAAGACTTCACACTACACAACAAAGATTCAGTTGATTAACAACACTAGTCAGACTCTTAAGCTCACTTTTCAGCAGGCCATTCCTGATTTGCTCACAGTTTCATTGAACAAGATACAATCAAGAAAAAAAAGAATCCGTTGCAGATCTGTCCCAGGCAGCTACTTCTCCCTAGTACATCATCACAATAGAACAACAATGGGATTTTTTTTTTCTTCACAATGGAGAATAACCAGTAGAGTGTTTAATTTCAAACTAAGTCCTCATGTTTTCAGATGAACTCTGAATACCTTTTAAACCAGACTCACAGATGTGAAAATCCTCAGAAGTCAAGTCCTAGTGAGAAGGAAGGTAGTGATACAGAAAATAAACCAGAGTGTCCTGAATCTAAGTTAAGTTTCACGCCTCAGCATAATCTCTCAAACGAGAGGAGAAAAATAACTGGACTTTCCGCACCGACCTGACGAAGGTTGATATAAACTGCATTCTGAAGAAATTCGGAGGCTTCCATGCTCCTTTTCTGTATTGCAAGGACTCTCACTGCCTTCACGCAGGCTTCCAGTTCAATCACACCAGCATTCTTGTACTTGAAGAGGAAGAAAATTAAAATAATATTGAAGTATTGCAGCTGTTAGATTTGGTAAGTATTTCTGTTCAACACATGAATCAGCTGTCACATCTTCCAAACCCAGTAATTCCTTAATGCTAGTGACTATACTGTTAAATTATCAATATATGCCCAAGTAAAAATTAAGCTGTCCTCTAAAATGTTGTTATGCAAAATAACCGTTTTCAGCCTCTTCACTCACTCCTCTTATTTTGAGACACAGCACAGCTTTAGTCTGAGAGTTAGATAAGGAGAAAAACTGGGAATATTAGTATCATTTTGGATAACCTCATATATATGGGGGGCGTGGGTGGTATGTCTGCAACAAAGAAATAAATCCTACCTTCACACTGTAAATAAGTAAGCAAAAAGTTCAGTTTTACAGTAATTCATCACCACCTAAAACTGTTCTATCACAATAAACGAAGAAGTAATTTTGCCTTTTCTACTTACTACCAAATACGCTACATAGCACAGGAAGCTGTAGCAACAGAACTTTAGTTTTACTGCATTAATTCTCTCTTTAGTTAAAACAGAATCACTAATGACAAGTGAAATACAAACCATTCTGAGTTTTCTAGTATCTATTTACAAAACATTTTCTGTAAATGACTGTTTCAGTTATTTAGCTTGCTTAAGAAAGGCAGGAGACAATGTAGATGTGCATTGATCTGTTTGAGCTTGAACGAACACAGGCAACTTTCTAGACAATCAATGTGATCTAGTTATTTCCTCAAACAACAGTGGTACTGGATATTTGAGTCAGCCTATCTCTTGCTGAAGTTGAACTCTGTTCAGGTATTTATCACATTTGAAATCTAATGGGGGAAATAAAGTTCAGAACAAAATGCAAGAGTTACTCCACCAAAGCAGTTACATATTCCTCTCTTGTGCATTTATATCAGCAAAAACAAATCACTGGAGACTGAATCCATTCTAGAAGATGCCACAAAAGTTTCTTAAGCTCAGCGATAACATAAAAAAATATGTAGAAAGTGCTGATTCATCAGCATTAGAGCTAGGAGTTACTCTATCTGTAGGTCTTAAACAGGCAAAAGCTAACCATGCTTGCCTTGAAGAGTTATAGATCAGTCCCAAGACAAAGTTCATTGTTATTTTCAAGTGAAGCATAGTTATTACTTGCTGAGAGCCTAATGTATATTATTATAACCAAAATATAAATATCCTGCCCTAAGTTCAACAAAGCCCAGAGATTTTATATGTCTAAAGAAATCATACTCTTTCTAGATGAGTACCTTCCCCTTAAGGTAACACAAAAAGCTGAATGCATACTTAAGAATTATCATTATATTGATGGATTCAAATTTATCTGAAACTATCCCCAAAACTATCACATTTCATTGCTTCTGATCTTAAATTAACTCATGCACACAATTTATCTTGTTTCATTTGGAGAGTCTCCTTTCAACACAGACATGGAAATGCCATATCAAATTTATATAGTTTAGTCTAAAGATACTTTCAATATCAAACAAGAGAGATACTTGAAGTTAAAAAGTTATTAAAGCATAAGTTACTACACTGCAAAACAATTAAACTAATCTTCAATGTTGATGCAGATATTGAGGCACTATTGTCAGTATAAAATACATTTTTTTCTCTCCATGTTATGAATGCAAATATTAAGCCACCTTACTGTCTTATGCTTAGCATTTACACAAAAATCTAAAAAAAATGCTCCAGTAGAGCTGAAAAATGTTTCATTTTTCTAAATCCTCTTTTAAGAATATTTGTCCTTCACATTTCCTGCATGACCCCCTACCTCTACGCATGCTCGAAATACTAGCCGCCCTGAACAATCCTGTAAAATCATATGCATCAGCAGCAGCAACCTCTCCATAAGCTCCTGAATTCCCCAGAGATCATTCCAGCAGGCTCAGTAAATAAGCATTCAGCTTACACCACACATAAAAGCATCACTGGAGTTGACGGTGTATGTATTAAGGGCCATAAACATACATAATGGTTAACAAACCTTCAAATACCTAACACTTCTGCTTAGAGTGCTTTAAAAATATAAGACAATTAATCCAAAACCTCCAGGTACTAGCAGGCACAGTAAATAGTTTACTCAGCACACTGCTCGTTTAGGTGTTGTCTTTGACCAAAGCTCTGAGATTTCCAGACTCTAAACCAAGCACTTAGTTCAGTCATACAAATTATTCCTATTTCTTCCATTATCGTATGTTTTACAAACTTGATTGCACATACTTTAGAAGAGCCTCTGAAACCAAAACCACAGCAGTTCATTATTCCCAAGAATTTCAGTGAAGTTTCTTAAAAATAAGTAGGATTACCTTGCCATAATAAGAAATGGCTTCTTTATATTTATCTATGATGTCTTCAGGACTAAGGCAATTCTTGGCACGTCCTATCTCAGCACTGGTATCTGCGTTTATACCGTTTGAAGTCAGCGCACCTAGAACAGAAGAGGGTAAGAAATGAGGACGAGGACCTTTAGCAAATACTAAATATCTACGAAGACAACTAGGATATGCTGTAGGTTTGACCAAAGCATACACAAAGAATACTTGCCCTATCTAGAAAGAAATCATGCCCTACCTAGAAAACATTAGTTCTGTTTTACTATGCTATTTTAAAGAGTACAAATGAAAAATGGATTCAATCGTAAACCAGCAAACAGGAGATAATCTTTCACTTCGTAAAAAACAAATATATTCATAATCTTTTACACTTATCTGAGTATTTATACTATGAATAAAATATTATACTGCTAAAATTAGCTTATGGCCACATCTGAATATGTAATTTTAATCTTAGAATTATTCCTTGTTCTACTTAAAGACTGTATTTCTAAAGCACACCTAAGAAAAAAGGAAGTGCTATTTTTTTTATAAACTAATTACTAGAACAGTGACCTCCTCCAATCATTTAAAACAAATACTTCTCTTCCCTAAGTCTAATCACAGAAAACCAAGTGTTACATTGTAACAAAGGCCACCAAATCTGAGCCTTCCATATTAAAAAAAGAAAATTACCTGAGGCTTAGACAAAAGAGTCAGAAATTGTTTTTCTGATTTAAGAAAGAAGGTGAGAGACAGAAAGAGTCTTTACATACATAAGCAATAAGAATCTGAAATAGAAGCCAAGGAAATCCGGGGTATTACAAAGAAAACTTTATTTCTAGAATTTAGTTTTATTGCAGAGTTAACATAATAAAATTGAAAACGTACATCAAAGGTTTGGCAAGGCTCTATACCTTTTTAAGTGTTACTTAATCTGTAGTATTTCATCCCTAAATTTATACAGTAATTTATTTCTCCAAGAGGTTTCTCTACTAAGATGGCAAAGAAATCTTTGTGTTTCAGAGCTGGACCTAATTCTCAATAGGCAGTTAAAAGCTACTGTGAAAGATACTTTCTACTCCCTCTGTATGTTCAGAAATACATCATTTCACATGCTCAAATGCTAAAGCAACTTTCTTATACGTTTGTCAAGCTTCAAGAATCATACCAAGCACATCTGTAGATTAACACCTTAGGGTTTTTATGAAAGTTAAGCTCAAAATCTTTGTTAGTGATGACTGAAAGAATACCATGACACTACAAGACTACATTCAGGTTTGTCAGTTAAAAATAAATTTTAAAAATCCTCACTACTCATGAGAAGAAACAATCTTCATTAGAATTTATAGGGACACAATCATGGAACTACATCATTTATTTTGTGCCAGCTACCCTTCAGTCTCTTTGCTTCCTCAAGTTTTGCAGCCAAAAACTGAAGTGTCAGGAATCTGTACTAGTTTTGGCAAGTGGCAGTAACTATCTATACAAATGCAAAACAAATGCAAGTAATAAAAAGAAAAGACTTTGGAAACATGCATGAAAATAATGTACCTGGATCAATGAGAACTTCTTGTGCCCCTAAAAGGAGGAACAAAAATGATTTTTTTTTCAGCCTCAAATATAGCCAACAAAATAAGCTCTTACAATGTTTTGTAACTAACATCAGGCTTGAACAAAATTATAAGATTTATTAGGATCATCATTGCTATTTTGAAGGACTACCACTTACAATTCAAGTAGTCACCATGCATTAAATCTCATTTTGTTAAAAAACAAATGTAAAAATCCCATAAACTTGCAATGAATTCTAAGACACATCAAGAAGAATTGAAGAATTTTCAGTGTAAAGCCATATCCTTTTTCTCCTTTTTCTTTATTCTTGTTTAGTTGGCAAGTTTCCATCACAATCCACTTACTATATTTTAATATCAGGTCCTACAGTGCTTAAGTCTCCTTGTGGGAGCTCATTTAATCTACACAGTACTCAAGAATAACATTTTCAAGTAATTGTACCCCTTTCATTTGTCATTAATTTCACTCCATCAAATTTGCTGAATTGAGTTATGCCAACCCAACAAGCCAGACTATTCACATAAAATAGTTGCCAAGAGTATTGCAAAGTTGGATTATCAGATATACAATACCTTGTTGCCCTAAACTTTGATTAAACATGGCAATAAAATTGTTAAGATCAAGGGTTAAGTAGTCAAAACCAATTGCTTTATGAGCAAGACAAAACCTTCCTTCAGTTGACTTGCTCAGACTCCAGACTAGTGAAGTAGAGATTTAGAGTGAGATCAGAAAGATACTCCAACATTTCACTCAGGTGTCCTAATTCTGCTTGGGGAAAGAGGAAGGTCAGGCAACAAAATTAAGAGCTTAGCACTTCAAACAAATAAAACACAATAGAGAAACCCAAAACAGCTAGTAAGCTAAACGTAAAGCAATCTACACCCGGCTTATGCAACATAGAAATCATGTAGCCAACAGACTATGGCCAGGCTCCTGGCCAACAGGAACTAAGCAACTCAAAATCTTCTTTTACACTGAAGGCTGCAGAGACAAATCCAGACATTCAAGGGGACACAGCCTAAAGCTCTCCCCCTACAAACAAAAGGGTTTAGGAACATGAGAAGTCACACTTCTTTAAAACATCAAAGTACCCTTTTCACAATCAGCAAGACACTGCAGTCCAAGGGCTCATGGCAATGACCAAGGAAGAAACCTGTCTTTGGAGCAGGCAAGGTTCCACATCTCCTTCCATCAGACAAGTCCCTCCATCAGACAAGTACTTTAAACACTATGTTATCGACTAATTCTCTTCTGAATGAACTATTCCTATCAAAAGAGTTTCAAAAGAAGTTGAAGGGTACACCAACAAAAAACACAAGACAATATTCTGATGGTTACAGATAGGTTTGAAATATATAGCAATTCTGCTTAATAGGGGGAAAAAACCACCCCACACCAAAAAAACCCCCTTTAACACTGGCCTCTTAAGCTTGTGCTCTAAATTACACAAAGAGAGACAATATTAATGCTTCTCTTGCCAAAGATGTTTCTATACAAAGCAGACACCACAACATTTTTTTGAGCAGCCAGGTCCTGTGCTATAGCCTAAAAATGCGAAATGGTGGAAATCACAGGAGATTCAAGAGAAAGATGTTTCTATTGACTGGGTCTGGACTCAAAGGCAGTACCAAGAAACCTCATCTTGTCAAGGCTCAAGTACAGGCACAAGATGACGTGCAATTCCAGGCACATCAGGAAGCAATAAAGGTAATTCTCACATCTATATGCCTCAAAAGTAGGCACAAATTGAATGTCAGTTCTAAGTATGGCATTTCTTGATTTGTGCAGAATTTGGAAACCCCTTTTGTTTCTGGCCTTATCCTACAGAAAGATACACTGGAATTTGTTCCCCAGATTAAATACTGGCCTCACAAAACTAATTATAACAAAGTAGATTATAAACAAAGGTGCAGTTTGAAAAGATTTCAAATGAAAGGCCTGCAGAGTCAAGAAAAGGTATTGAAAAGAAACTTTCAAAAAAACTCATAGAAAAGAGACATCACGACAACAGCTGTTTGGCTGGACAGAGTTCAGCAGTTCAGATGTCAAAACATTAAGAGATCGTAACTAGAGTTAGGGAACACTCCCTAATAGACCATGAAGTAACATTTTCATCTGGAAGGGATGACAAAAACCTGTAATCAGTTTTACTTTGCACAAAAGTCCTTTGAAAAATCTTGTCATATGAAACTAAAACATTTTTAAAATACAACCACACTAACAAGTTTGCAAACAGGACTTGGAATTAGGAGACAACTTAAATAGAGAAGCAGCAATTATATACCCAAAATGTATTTAATTCAATTATTCTGATAGCTGTGACTTATTTGTTATCTTCTTTAGTAACAAGGAGTACCCATTACAAATAAACAAATCGCAACGCCTACTGTTAAATATTTGTTGAAAAGTGGACAAAAGTTAATAACTGTGTGAAATTATACCATAAAGCAACATAAAACGCACTCATAGGTCATGGGACCAAATGCACAGATTTTAATGACTAGATATTATATGAAAAATTAGTATTCTCTCATGAAATAAGGTAATTTTACTATCACAATTATCTGGCGTCAGCACACACAGTTTGTACTAAAGATAATACAAAGCAAGTGTTTACTAGATTGTGACTTATAGATGAATAAAGATGGGTGGTTGGTTTTTTTAGAGGAAGGAATTCATTTTGATCACACTGCACACAAGAACACTTAAACCCAGCTTCTGTTTGTTTCAGTACTGCATAAGAACCTAAGTATATACATGAAACAGCTGTGCTGGGTTAGACCAAAGGCCTGTCCTGCTTATAATAATCGATATATTTTTCTTTCACTACCTTAGCGAGCCTCTCCTGGAAGCCATAGAAACTTTCAGGAGCCTTAACACCACGTAGCTACTGTTAGGTTATGTGATTATGCTCATCTCCACAAACACAGAGGAGCACAGAGGAACAGTGAGAGCCAGCTGAACCCCAATAACCTAATCAGAGCCAACAGAGCTGTCTGGGGGTGAAACCCATCAGGATGAGTTAACATGCGCAGCTCTCCAGCTCACCTTACAGACTGGGGGCGGTTAATGCCTACAGGGATACGGGACTCATTATAGGACGCAGGGAAAGAATATCTTGGGATCGTACAAGATTTGTTATGGAATGTGTAGGGGACGAACAAAAGGCAGGGAAAAGGAGGGATCAAGGCAGTTTAGGGAAGAACAAGCATGGAAAAATAGAGGGATAAGGAGACTGTGCGTATGTGTGTAGGTCTAAGTAGCAACAACTGCAATGGGGCTCTGGGTCTTGGAGGCTTGTAGGTCCAGGTGCCAGTAACCGGTGAGACCCGGCAATCCAGCAGCCAGCTAGCAGCTAGACCGAGTGACGAAAACCAGCTACTGGATGGATCCACGCTACCCACAGGCTTTCATCCTGATCAGCCAGAGAGGGGAGCAGGAGCAGGCTGTTAGTGCTGTCTGTGTTTACGAGTGCTGTTTTCTGCTTGTGTTGGTCTGTGTGGCCAGCTGTGTGTATGCCTATGGGGAATGCATGCTCAGCCTCATGACTGGCTGGACCGGGGGACACGGAGTCGTGCCAGCCTTGCCTCTATCATGCTACCAGATCCAGTAACTCCTAACAAGGAGTTCCACATCATACCTATAAAATTGGATAAAGAATAAGTTTCCATCTGCTAGCTGTATTTGATGTCCTCTGGTTCTTCTGTCGGAAGAAGCCCTGAACCTCTGATCCCTATCCATCCTCTTCCACAACATTCACCACATTATAGATAGCTGAGGAGAAACACGAGAGCTCTCTTTTGCAGAACTTCAGAGTTCTAGGCTATTCAGTTATTCTTTATACAGAAAACATACCAAGATGATCTTTGTTGCCAATCTGCAACCCGTCCAGTAGAAAAATGGGAGATAGGGAACATGAACACCCTTTTGTGCTGGGAAACTGAAATGGCATGCAATATTCGAGATGCAGATGAACTGCAGACTTAATGATATTTTCTATTTTTTTCTCTCTCTTACTTTCCAAGTAATTCCTAAAATAGTTTAAGCAGGCCACTTCTCAACGAATGTCTATCATACCAATGTTAATACAATCATGATATTAGTTACGCAATCTGAGAGTTTAGAAAAAGTATACTAAATCTTAAAAATTATGTTGATTTATTGGTATTCAGTTAACCAAATCTATTTATTAAATGTTGACTTTAGAATAGCAAAACACTTCTGAATAAATGTACCTAACTTCTTATTCTTAATATGGGCAGCTCTGCCACATCGTATGTACTTTATGAAAACTGTCTGCACCTCCTCCAGCAAAATTCAAACCAACACAGACACTATTAACAATCAGACAAAGAGATCAAAAGCTTTGCAACTCTATGCAAAGTACACATGACGACATTAATACCAAAGCAGTAGAGAAGTCATTCACGTAAAAATCTTAAAAAGAAACACAGCTCTCCCCTCCCACCCACCCTTCCAGTTTACCCTGTCATTGGTATAATTTTACAGAGTTAGGAAGTAGGGAGGAAATTTTCAGATGTTCAGTGGTGTCAAACAGAATAAAAACAAAATCCCGTCCTTACCTGGTCTGTGCCTGTTGCCTGCCTCAGCAGAAAAAGAACCTCCTTGTGCCCTGCGAGATCCAACTTTACCTCCAGTACCACCGGGATAATGATAGATGACTGATGCTGAGCATAACCCCTCAAGAGCAGCTGCAGAGTAAAGAAAAAACTCAACAGATTAGTATAGATACTTGCAAGAAGTGAAGTATCATGTAGTAAAGTCTATTTACACAAACATAAAGTATGCCCCAAATTGGACACCTAGTGACAAAGGTCATGGAAAAGCTTGAGATACTCAATGTCCTTTTTATCTGTTTTCACTGGTAAGGTTCACCATCAGACCTCCCAGGTCCCCAAGCCCACTAGCAGAGTCTGCAGGAATACACGCTGGCCACAGTAGAGGAAGACAGACATAGGAAACACTTAATCCAATCGGACACAAATCCACAAAACCAGGTAAGATGCATTCATGGATGCCAAGAGAGCTGGCCAATACAAGACCATTCTCTTATCACCTACAAAAGGTCATGCCAATTAGGGGAAGTTTCTAATGACTGGACAAAGGGAAACATCATACCCTTCTTCAAGAAGGAAGTACCAGGGGCCTACAGGCAGACCAACATCAGTTGCCTAGAAGGGCTATAAAGAAATCCTTCTGGAAGCCATTTCCAAGCACATGAAGAACAAGAAGGAGACTGGGAACAGCACACATTGATTTACCAAGGATAAATCAGTCCCTGGCAACCTCATTGCCTCCTGTGATGAGAAGATTAGCTCAGTGGACAAAGGAACAGCAGTGCATGTTGTATATTTTGACTTTCACAAGACCTTTGGACATGGTCTCCCATAGCATGCTTATAGCCAAACTGATAAGATCTGGATAGCTGGCCTATAAAATAGGTGGAAAATAGGCTGGACAGTCAGGCTTGTGATCCTTGTGGGGCCAGGAGTAATGGCGGCAGATTCAAATGCAGTGTAACCACCACCAGCGGTCACTCGCAGAGGCGATCGGCTCTGGTGCAGGCATGTTCCGCAGTGGAGTGGGGGATCACAGTGTACAGGGGGGTTTCCTGAGCTGGGGAAACCCCAGACAAGCGCAGTGACCCACCAGCTCTCACAAGAGCAGCTGACGAGATGCGGGCAGGGACAGGAGTAACGGCCGCCACCCCGTACTCCCACAAAAGGCAGCCCTAGGGAGCGCTAGTGACCAGGAGCGCTGCCAACAGGATGTGCGAACAGGGCACGGCGCGGCAGGGCACGCAAGGAGGGCACCTCGTCAAAGGAGGGGCATTCCACTGGCCGAGCGGGAGACCTGAAGTACGCATAACCCAGCAACCAGACACTGTTCTGTGACCATCTGCACAGGTCAAGGGCACTCACCCTCAAGGCAGAAGAGTGTGCACTCGTCTGAGAGCAAAGGCTGCAACTCCAGCTGGGGGGCCTGCACCATCTACCCCAGCGGTGGCCGATGCCTCCACCCAGACGGAGCTGCTGAAGGAGAAGGCTGCAGTGCAGAACTTAGACTACAGCAAGTGCCTGGACCTTTCTCCTGGGGGAGGGACGGGCGGCAGACCTGCCTGCAAAAGGTGCGCCCAGGTGAAGGACCTCCTGCAGGAGGTGGCTGAGCTGCAGAAGGCAGTGAGAAGGCCACGTAACACCAGGGAGGCGGAGAAGGAGTTAGCTAGCTGGTTCCAAGAGCAGTCTGCAGTGGGCCCACAGCCCATGACCGAACAGCCAAAAAACTCCCCTACCGGCACACAGAAGGGAGGAGGGCCAGTAACGCGGAAGAATGGATGGTTGCAATGGTAAGGACCAGCAGGAGGAAAAGACTTCCCCCCGAAGCCTGAGGTGCCCTTGCAGAACTGCTTCACCACTCTGCAGGCTGAAGAGGAAAGACCTGTCACACCAGGAGAGACACTAGAGCTGAATGTGGCAGCCCAATCTGCTCCCCATGTAACAGCCAGAACAACTAAGAAAACACAATGGGCGACAGTAGCAGATGACTCTCTTCTGAGAGATACGGAGGGACCCATTTGCTGACTGACGCACTCTCTAGAGAGGTGTGCTGCTTACCAGGGGCTCGTATCAGAGATGTCACTGAGAGACTACCAAGCTTTGTACAGTCCACGAACTGGCAAAAATGCCAGGAGGCCTGCATGGATGAACAAGGAGCTCCTGGACAAACTCAAACACAAAAAGGAAGCGTGGAAGCAAGGACAGGTAGCCTGGGAGGAATACAGAAAAATTGTCCAAGCAGCCAGGGATCAGGTTAGGAAAGCTAAAGCCCTGGTAGAATTAAATCCGGCCAGGGACATCAGGGCAACAAGAAAAGCTTCTATAGGTACATCGGTGATAAAAGGAAGACTAGGGGAAATGTAGGCCCTGTCCAGAAGGAAATGGGAGAGCTGGTTACCTGGGATATGGAGAAGGCTGAGATACTCAATGACTTATTTTCCTCAGTCTTCACCGGCAAGTGCTCAAGGCACACTGCCCAAGTCGCAGAAGGCAAAGGCAGGGACTGGGAGAATGAAGAACCCCCCACTGTAGGAAAAGATCAGGTTTCAGACCATCTAAGGAACCTGAAGGTGCACAAGTCCATGGGACCTGATGAGACGCATCTGCAGGTCCTGAGTGAACTGGCAGATGAAGTTGCTAAGCCACTATCCATCATATTTGAGAAGTTGTGGCAGGCTGGTGAGGTCCTCACTGACTGGAAAAGGGGAAACATAACCCCCACTTTTAAAAAGGGAAAAAAGGAAGACCCAGGTGTCACGAATGTAGGAGTTTCTGGTACAATTAAGGGGTGCTTAACTGACCAACTCACTACACAAAGGCTGCGGTCTAGAATTCCTGAGGTCGTAAAGCGGTTGAAGAGAGAGAAAAGGGGTGGGAATGCACCACCACGCTGGGGAACTACAGGCCAGTCAGTCTCACCTCCATGCCCAGCAAGATCATGGAGCAGATCCTCCTGGAAACAATGTTAAGGCACATGGAAAATAAGGAGGTGATTGGTGACAGCCAACCCATGTTGAGTTGGGCAAATTGGGCCTGACAAATTTGGTGGCCTTCTACAACAGGGTTACAGAGTTGGTGGATAAGGGAAGAGCAACTGACATCATCTACCTGGATTGCACAAAGCATTTGACACTGTCCCGTGTGACATTCTTGTCTCTAAATTGAAGAGACGTGGATTTGACAGATGGACCACTCAGTGGATAAGGAGTTGACTGGGTGGTTGCACTCAACGGCTCAATGTCCAAGTGAAGACCAGTGACGAGTGGCGTTCCTTAGGGGTCAGTACTGGGACTGGCGCTGTTTAACACCTTTGTCAGCAACATGGACAGTGGGATCGGGTGCACCCTCAGCAAGTTTGCCGATGACACCAAGCTGTGTGGTGCAGTCAACATGCTGGAGGTAAGGGATGCCATCCAGGGGGACCTTGACAGGCTTGAGAGGTGGGCCCATGTGAACCTCATGAAGTTCAACAAGGCCAAGTGCAAGGTCCTGCACGTGGGTCGGGGCAATTCCAAGGACAAATACAGGCTGGGCAGAGAATGGATTGAGAGAAGCCCTGAGGAGAACGACTTGGGGGTGTTGGTTTATGAGAAGCTCAACATGACCCGGCAATGTGTGCTTGCAGCCCAAAAAGCTAGCCGTATCCTGGGCTGCATCAAAAGATGAGTGGGGCTGTTGGAGTGAGTCCAGAGGAGTGCCACAAAGATCATCAGAGGGCTGGGCACCTCCCCTATGAAGACAGGCTGAGAAGGTTGGGGTTGTTCAGCCTGGAGAAGAGAAGGCTCCAGGGAGACCTTATAGCAGCTTTCCAGTACCTGAAGGGGGCCTACAAGAAAGCTGGAGAGGGACTTTTGACAAGAGCATGTAGTGACAAGAGAAGCGGTAATGGCTTTAAACTGAAAAAGGGTAGATTTAGATTCAATTTAAGGAAGAAATTCTTCACTATGAGGGTGGTGAGGCACTGGAACAGGTTGCCCAGAGAAGTTGTGGATGCCCCATCCCTGGAAGTGTTCAAGGCCAGGTTGGACGGGGCTTTGAGCAACCTGGTCTAGTGAAAGGTGTCCATGGAAGGGGGGTTGGACCATGATGATCTTTAAGGTCCCTTCCAACCCAAACCATTCTATGATCAGCAGTACAAAGTCCAAATGGTTGCCCATTACTAATGGTGTCCCTCAAGGATGAATACTGAGGACAATACTCTAATGTCTTCTTTAACAGCCTGGATGATTGCATAGAGCACTCCCAGAAAATTCCTGGGTGATACCAAATTGGGGAAAACAGTAGGGCAGGCCTTCAATGCAGAGAGAACTTGACAGGCTGGAGATATGGGCCGACAGGAGCCTCATGCAGTAAGAAAGGCACATGCATCTCAGATGGGATAAGCCTATGCAGCAGTGCAGCCTGGGAGCTGACTGGCTGGAAAGCAGCTTTGCAGAAAAGGACCTGGGGGTCCTGGCAGACAACAAGTTAACAGCAGTTAGTAGTACTAGGCCCTTGCAACAAAAGTGGCCAACTGCATACTGGGCTGTAACAGCCACAGTGTAGCCAGCAAGCAAAGGGAAGTGATTATTCCCCTCTATTCTGCATATGAGACACCACATTTGGAGCAATGCATCCAGCTTTGGGCTCCCCAGTACTAGAAAGACATTAACATCCCGAAGCAAGTGCAGTGGAAAGCCATCACAATGGTCAGGGGGCTGGAGCCCATGATATAAGAGAAGCAGAGAGAACTGGCTTTGTTCAGCCTTGAAGAACAAGAGGCTAAGGGGAAATCTTACTGCTGTCTCCAAACACCCAGCGGGAAGGTACAGAACAGATGGAGTCAGATGCTTTTCAGAGGTGCAGTGACTGGATGAGGGTCAACGCAAGTTGACACAGGAAATTCTGCTTTAATGTAGGAACAATTTATGTTTCGTTGGTTTTTTTTCAAACTATGAGCAGCAAAAATGTTAGAACAGGTTGCTCAGCGATTATACAACTTCCATCCTTAAATATACCTGAAACTCAACTGGACTGGTCCCTGAGCAACTTGATTTAACTGGATGTGATATGAGCAGGAGATCAGACTTGGGGACCTCCAGAGGTCACTTCCAATCCAAATTATTCTATGAGTCTATAAGTATAATTTGGTAGTCCACAGATGGGCCTTAAAATATTTCCATGCTCTGCACCAGGAGAAAAGTTCTCCTTTCCTTCTTGAAGAATCCTGAGCCATTTAACCTTCTGAAAGAGTAGAAGGAAAGAAGTGGAAGGTCAGAAGGTGTTAAGGTTTCCATAATATGTAACGTACAGAGCCATTAGGAAGCTAAATGGATTTCCAAGTAGAATGAGAAAGCTAAAAGCAGAACTGGAGATGCAACTGTCCTGAAAGAGTATGAAATTGAGAAGCAGAAATTGTGCTCAAAGATGACTTGTGTATCCAACAAATAGAAAAAAGCAGGCACGAAAAACACAGAAAAGGAAAGGATGAAGGAAAAGGCAGGGAAAAAAAATGAAGCCTAGGACCTAACGTGAAAGGAAGGAACTTATGCCAGTGGAAGTTAAACACTTGTAGCTTTCATAGATGTAAGGGCAAAAATCTTCTCCTAACAGTCGATAGTAGATACCCACAGGAGAGATTTTTAAAACATCTGTACAAACAATCTGAAAAAAACAAACACTTTCCAAAGAATCATTAAAAAGTCAGATACAGAATTTTTTTAAGTACATGCTTTACTACAGTAACACATTTTATGTTGCCGGTTTTCTTAAACACCTTTCTTTCTCATGTCTTATTAACTAGTTTTTATTTCAACTTAATTCTTAGTCACACCTGATTTTCAGATTTTGGTCACCAAAATCATTCCTATTTTTCATAATACAGAAGGAAAGTTAGAGGACATGGTTTAGCAACTAATTATTTGATTCACTATCACCACTTAATCCTACCTCCAAGCCACAGAAAGTCATTCACAGACCGCAGAAGTTCCACCGCCATGTGGTAATGCACCAAGGAATCTTGTAACATGCCAGCTTGTAAACACAGGTCACCAACATGTTTCCGCATCCGGCCCTGACAACGCTTCTTATAGTGTCTGCAAAATAAAAGGTACAATGTACAGTTATTTACAGGAAACGTTTATTTGGGGTAATAAACACCTACAGTCGCTTTTCTTTCCTCCTTAATAGTAGATCAACCTTAATTTACTCTCTTTCTCTGAGCAAACATCCAATATGAATTCTGACCAGCATAATATGTAAAAACCAACAACTTGAGGATATATTGAAAAAAAGCAATGCATCACGTATTTTGGCTACATAGCATTTACACATAGAGTCACAAAGTTAAAAGACTACACTTCAGAGCACCTTAATAGCTTTGTCACAAATGAAATAATAAGAATCATAGAATCACCCAGGTTGGAAGGAACCTCAAAAGATCATCTGGTCCAACCTTTCACGGGAAAGGGAGCCTAGATAAGATAATCTAGCACACTGTCCAGCAGCATCTCGAAAACCTCCAAAGCAAGGTTCTTGTAGTCCTCAACAGGTATTTGGCTGCTTTTCCATAGCTGGTATGCTTCTTTTTCGCTTTTAAGTACACCCAAAAGCTCACTGTTAAGCCATGGTGCTCTCTTGTTCTGCCTTCTTCCTTTCCCTCCATAGGCAATGGACTGTTCTTGTGCTTCCAGGAGGCTGTTCTTGAATAACTCCCAGGACTCACAAGCTCCTTTGCCATCCACGGATGCTTCCCATGGAATCCCTTGCATCTGGGCTCTGAGCATACTGAAGTTGGCTCTTTAAAATCCAGGGTCTTTGTCCTGCTACTGGTTTTCACTGTGCTCAGCAGGATCTTAAAACTCCACCATGTTGTTGTCGCCATATCCAAGGCTATCATTGGTAGTTACATTGTCAAGCAAGTCATCTTGGTTTGTGAGCAGTAAATCCAGCACTGCACTGTTCCTAATCAGCAGGTCCAGCATCTATAACAGGAAGCAGTCCTCAACGCATTCCAGGAAACCGATGGACACTTGTGCACCGCTATGTTGCTCTTCCAACAGATGTCCATGTAATTGAAGTCACCCACAAGGAGCAGGTTCTTTTGGCCCAAGCCTTCCTTAAGCAGCCAGTTTTGTCAGCACTGTCATCCTGATTGGGAGGTTGGTAACAGATACTTGACATAAGATGACCCTGGGTGATGATCCCTCTAATCTTGATCCAAAGGCATTCGATAGAACTTTCATGGTCTCTATAGCTCAGCTCCATACATTCAAATTTCTCTTTCACACGAAGTGCAACTCTGCTCCCTCTTCTTCCCTTCCTATCTTTCTGAAAGAGCTTGTAGCAATCCACTGTGGTCTTCCAGTCACGTGAGTATACCCACCATGTTTCTGGGCTCCTATGACATCATAACTCACACTGGGCACGGAGCTCCACTTCCTCCCTTTTGTTGCCCAGACTACTTGCATTACCAGACATGCACTTGAGGTGCCTGAACTTAGGATTCTTGCCTTTGGAGAGGGATGGGGAGCATTCCTAACTAATCTCGTAGGTGCACTCATCTACCCTGTTGCTTACGAATATGCACGTGTCACAATTTCAGACACTACCACCACAAGTTCATTAGTTTAAAGCACGATTCATGAACTCAGCCAATCTGCTAGCAAAGATTTCCTGCCTCTTCTTGGTAGGTGGATCCTATCTCTCCTCAATAGGCTGTATTCACCAAAAATCTACCCATGACCATTGTAACCAAAACCCTGGTGACACCACCAGCCATGAAGC